GGGGGGAGAGGTCTGGTCATGGGGCCTGAACTCTGGGCCTGGGTGCTGTCCCTCAGCTCTTCAGCTCAAGGCTAGCGCTCTACCACTTGAGCCATAGCGCCACTTCCGGATTTTTTCTTTTTGCTTATGTGGTGCTGAGGAATCGAACCCAGGGCCTCATGGATGCAAGGCAAGTGTTCTACCACTGAGCCACCCTCCCAGCCCTCAAAGTCAGTTTTATTTATATATATATTATTTATTTAACGTGTGCTAGTACTGGGCTTGAACCAGCCCCATTCTGATTTTTTACAGGTTATTTGGAGATAAGAGTCCCACAGACTTTCCTGCCTGGGCTGGTTTTGAACGGCAATCCTCGGATTGTAGCTTCTTGTGGAACTAGGGTTATAGACATGAGCCACTGGCACCCGGCTTCAAAGTCTATTTCAAAAGCAATTAGCTCTTTGCCAGATCCTGTTCTAGGTGTAAATTAGTGACCAAGGCAAAGATTTCTGTGCTAGTGGAATTTTCATTATATCAAGAATCTAGAGAAACTGACTTCATATTCCCTAGTAACATGGCCAAGCCAGATCAGTCTTCAGCTATGTGTACAGTTTCCTATCAGAAGCCTAAAATAGCTTTATTTTTCCTATCAACCAATATTTAGTGGATATACGTTTGTCAAACCTAATTCTGGATTTGTGGGATCCAGAGTAATGAACTCCTGGGCTGGGAAGGTGGCTCAGTGGTAGAGCCCTTGCCTTGCATGCCTGAGGCCTTGGGTTCAATTCCTCAGCACTACATTAGCAAAAAGAAAAAAAGCTGGAAGTGGTGCTGTGGCTCAAGTGGTAGAGCGCTAACCTTGAGCTGAAGAGCTGAGGGACAGTGCACAGGCCCAGAATTCAGGCCCCATGACTGGACCCAGAAAAAGAAAAAGAAAACAGAGTAATGAACTACTTAATTGACATGGATCTGAAATTATGTAGTTTCTTCATTTCTTCTTGGCCACTTTTTCCATGTGCATAGAAAATAAGCAAACTTAGCATGACAGTCTTACAGACACTGATCAATATTTTGTATCTGTAGCCTAATCAACACAATACAGTAAAGCTGGGAGCCTTCCAAGCTCAAGAAAAAGAACTGGTGTTTGACATTGACATGACAGACTATGATGATGTTAGGAGATGCTGTAGGTAAGTACCACGTACCACACTGCTCGGGTGGGCGACATCCCCAACAGTTAGTAATGATAACTCTGCTCAGTTCTGCAGATATATGTTCTAAGTGCTGGACCCTCATGACAATGGCCATACGCATCATCGACCGAGCCTTGAAGGGCAAGTATCAGCAGTCCCAGAGCGGGATGAAATGGAAATCTGTTTTCTTTTGAATATTAGTATCTGTATTTTATTTTTATTACTATTATTACTATCACTATTATCATTGTATATGTGTATGCTGGTACTAGAGTTTGAAATGAGGGCCTGAGTGCTGTCCCTTAGTTTTTTGCTCAAAGTTGGTACTCTACCATTTGAGCCACAGCTCTACTTCCAGGTTGTTTTTGCTTTTGTTTTTTGTTGGTTGTGGGTCTTGAACTCTGGGCCTGGGTGCTGCCACTGCACTCTTCAGTTCAAGGCTAGCACTCTACTACTTGAGCCATAGCACCACTTTTGGTTTTCTGGTGGTTAATTGGAGATAAGAGTCTCATGGACTTTCCTGCCTGGGCTGGTTTTGAACCAGGATCCTCAGATCTCAGCCTCCTGAATAGCTAGGATTACAGGCATGAGCCAGCCATGCCCCAGCTACTTCCAGTTTTTTGAGGGTGAATGGGAGATAAAAAGCTCTTGGAGGGGCTGGGGGTTTAGCCCAGCGGAAGGGCGCCTGCCCGGCGCATGCAAGGCCCTGGGTTCGGTCCTCAGCCCTGGGGGGGAAAAAAAAGCTCTTGGAGCTGGGCACCAATGGCTTACGTCTATAATCCTAGCTACTCAGGAGGCTGAGATATGATGATGACAGTTCAAAGCCAGCAGAGGCAGGAAAGTCTGAGACTTATATCTCCAAATAACCACCAGAAAACCAAAAGTGGTACTGTGGCTCAAATGGTAGAGTACTAGCCTTGAGCTGAAGAGCTGAGGGACAGCCCCCCAGGACCATCAAAAAAAACTCATGGAAATTTCTGCCCAGGGCTGGCTTTGAACCATGATCCTGATTAGGGACATGAATCACTGGTGCCCAGTAATCTCTGTATTTTATAATCAAATCTCAAAAATTCCTAATATTTCCTTAAAACATAAAGGGAAAATAAAAGTTATAGTGGAAACTTTAATACAACTGTTGAACAAACTTATGTGCTTTTTCCAGTTCAGTCTTCTATTGAGAAACTATGTTAGATACTGTTCTCAATGAGGAAAACATAAAAGCTACCAGTTGTTACCTCGAATGGGTTACATAATCTAAGAAGACATCTAAGAATGTCTTTTTTTGGTGGGGGGGGGGATGTCTGGTCGTGGGGCCTGAACTCTAGGCCTGGGCACTGTCCCTCAGCTCTTCAGCTCAAGGCTAGCACTCTACCACTTGAGCCACAGCACCACTTCCGGCTTTTTCTTTTTGCTTATGTGGTGCTGAGGAATCGAACCCAGGGCCTCATGCATGCAAGGCAAGCGCTCTACCACTGAGCCACCTTCCCAGCCCCTAAGAATGTCTTAAACAGCAAGAGTACATACAAGAATATGCAAAGATCAGATTTAAAAAACAAAAAACAACTCATCAGAGCCAGGCACTGGTGGCTCATGTGTGTAATCCCAGGTACTCAGGAGGTTGAGATCTGAGCATCTCAGCAACAAAGGCAGTCTGAACAGGAAAATCCATGAGATTCTTATTATCAATTAACTAGCAAAAAGCTGGAAGACAAGCTTTGGTTCAAATGGTAGAACACCAGCCTTGAGTAAAAAAGCTAAGGGACAGCACCCAGGCTCTGAGTTCTAGCCTCAGTACCAGCACAAAAGAAAGAAACAAACAACAAAAAAAAAAAAAAAACCTCGTCTGGACATGGTGGCAACACACTTGTAATCCCAGCCCTCGGGGGCAGGAGGATCTAGAGTTTGAGGCCAATCTAGACTACCTAGTGAAACACTGTTTCAGCATTTTTGTTTTTAATTTTTTTAAGGCTTTCTAAAAGAGTTGATGATAGTTATGCTGATATCTAACTCTTACATACAGGCTTATTGTATATCAGGCACTATTATAAATGCCATGAATATTACCACAATATTCTCAGGGTTTTCTTTTTTAAGATAAATAGCAATTGATCAGTTATAGAGTTATGGATATAAATACTTGACAGAGACCAAGGTAGGTCAAGTTATAAAGAGAAGAACATGGGGGCACACTATAAGTGTACATGTAGAAATAGGTAAAATATGAAATTAACAGTAAGAACTAGAAGTATACAGATTTGCCCTAAAACCTATTATTTCTTCCCTCTTCAGAGGACTTTGGATTTAAGCATCGTCTTTGGGTATATTCTGGAAGGAGAGGTGTTCATTGTTGGGTGTGTGATGAATCAGTTAGGAAATTATCCTCTGCAGTACGTTCTGGGATAGTTGAGTATTTGAGTGTGGTAAAGGTAAGGTCTTCTTCATTATAATTTACATTTCTTCGTTTATTAGATGATACCAAACCTATATGTTTAGTAACAGAAAATTAAACTGTACTTACACATTTTCATTGTAGAGTTGATGGTCTTACCAATTATCATTTAAAATCATAGTAACCTTTTTTTTTTTTTTTTTTGTCGGTCATGGGGCTTGAACTCTGGGCTTGGGCACTGTCTCTGCACTCTTCAGCTCAGGGCAAGCGCTCTACCGCTTGAGCCACAGCACCACTTCCGGTTTTTTAGTGGTTTATTGGAAATAAGAGTTTCATGGACTTTCCTGCCTGGGCTGGCTTTGAACCATGATCCTCAGGTCTCAGCTTCCTGAGTAGTTAGAATTACAGACATGAGCCACCAGCGCCCAGCTAGTAACCTAATTTTTACAGGCTCATGCCTGTAATCCAAGCTACTCAGGAAGCTGAGCTCTGAGTTCAAAGCTAGCCCGGGCAGGAAAGTCCTAGAAACTCTTTTTTTTTTTTGGTTGGTTGGTTGGTTGTGGGGCCTGAATTCTGGACCTGGGCACTGTCCTTCAGCTCTGGCGCTCTACCACTTGAGCCAGAGTGCCAGTTTCAGCTTTTTCTGCTCATGTGGTGCTGAGGACTCGAACCCAGGGCCTCATGCATGGGAGATAAGCACTCTGCTGCTAAGCCACCTTCCCAGCCCCCTTGAGACTCTTATCTCCAATAAACCAACAACTAGAAGTGGCACTGTGGCTCAAGTGGTAGAGTGCTAGCCTTGAGCTAAAGAGCTGAGGGACAGCGCCCAGGCCCAGAGTTCAAGCCCCAAAACAGGGGGAAGAGGGGAATGAAAAAAAAGTATTTTAACTGGGTGCTATGTGTGTAATTCTAGCTACTCAGGATACTGAAATCTGAGGATCACAGTTCAAAGCTAGCCTAGTCAGGAAAGTCTGTGAGACTCTTCAGCTAACTACCAAAAAGGTAGAAGTGGGGGGAGCTGTGGCTCAGGTGGTAGAGCACTAGGGAAAAAGCTAAGGGACAGAACTCAGGCCCAGTACTGGCACCAAAAAAATGGTTTTTTATTTTACTGTCAAGTATCCTTTGTGACAAAAGGAAGGTTAATTTACTTTTCTAGTTTAATTGTATCAAGTAAAATTAACCCAGAAAGTTACAGTAGTGAGATGATATAAAATAGCATCTATACTGCTTTACTTTGACAGAATTTAGACAGTGTCTTTGAATTTATATACTTTTAAATAGAATAATACAGCACATTAAAATTATTTTACTTATGTAATATTCATAAAATTCCTTTTTTGATGTTTTTCAGGGAGGACAAGATGTTAAAAAGAAAGTTCATCTAAGTGAAAAAATTCACCCTTTTGTCAGGTCTGTTGGAAAAGATTCAGACACAAGTTTACGTTGTACCTGATCTGCTCACATTACTTTTAGAATTTCTGTTAGTTTTTTTTTTGTTTTGTTTTGTCTGTTGGGGAGTCCGGTCGTGGGGCCTGAATTCTGGGCCTGGGCGCTGTCCCTCAGCTCTTCAGTTCAAGGCTAGCGTACTACCACTTGAGCCACAGCACCACTTCTGGCTTTTTTCTTTTTTCTTATGTGGTGCTGAGGAATCGAACCCAGGGCCTCATGCATGCAAGGCAAGCACTCTACCACTGAGCCACCTTCCCAGCCCCCTTTCTGTCAGTTTTTAACAGGTAGCATTTTATAATAATAGCTACAGGTAGTTGAAGGCCTATTTTATGTTCTTGATAGGTTCTATAATTATTTCCATTGGTCTTTACAACTTGTGAGAGACATGATAGTATTTCCATTTGCAAATGAGGAAAATGAGTTTAGAAAGGCTATATCATTTCTTTAAGCAATTTAACATATAATGTAATTCATATCCTTGACTGCCCAACTCGAAAGCCCATGCTTTTTACATTGAATTAACTAATAGAAGTATTCATTATGTTGGGAGGAAAAATCCCTATTCTGTCACTTATTATGGACTTGATAAAATGTTAGGGGTCATTCTTCCCTACCTGCATGATATAGAGAACAGTATGTGCTTAATACCTATCAGAGTTGTAGGAAAGCTGAAACAATAGGTGTGAGATACATTTGCAGATTTCAAACTTAATTTTTTGAGTTCTGTTTGTATTTTCTTTTTGCTTTTTGGTTTGTTGAAACAGTAGCTCTCTGTAGCTTGAGTTGGTAGCCCTTTCTGGGTAGCTGGTTTCAAACTCTTATTCCCTCCGCCTCCCAAATGCCTAGCTCACTTGAAGATTTTTTTTTATTTTTTATTTTTTGTCAGTCATAGGGCTTGAACTCTGGGCCTAAGCACTGTCCCTCAGCTCTTCAGCTCAAGGCTAGCACTCTACCACTTGTGCCACAGCACCACTTCCAGTTTTCTGTTGGTTTACTGGAGATAAGAGTTTCATGGACTTTCCTGCCCAGGCTGGCTTTGAACCGGGATGCTCAGATCACAGCCTTCTGAGTAGCTAGGATTACAGGCATGAGCCACCAGCGCCCAGCTACTTGAAGAGATTTTAAAGTTCATTTTTCAGAGTAGAAACTGTAGAAGTGTATCTCCTATTGTAATATTGATATATTATCCTGTGCTGGTTGCTTTCCACCTTTGTTTTTTGTGTGTGATGCTACTAGTCTTTTAGGTTATAAAGTTTAAGAAGTAAACGTTCCTTGAGCAAAAAAATGAAAAACATTTTTTGTTTTATTTTATATTTTTGGATCCGGTCGTGGGGCCTGAACTCTGGGCCTGGGCACTGTCCCTCAGCTCTTCAGCTCAAGGCTAGTACTCTACCACTTGAGCCACAGCGCCACTTCCGGATTTTTTCTTTTTGCTTATGTGGTGCTGAGGAATCGAACCCAGGGCCTCAGGCATGCAAGGCAAGCGCTCTACCACTGAGCCACCTTCCCAGCACAAAATCAATTTTTTGTTTTGTTTTGTTTTCTTTTTTGGTACTAGGGATCGAACCCAGGACGTTGCACTTGCTAGGCAAGTGCTTTGCCACTGAGCTACATCCCAGCCCCGAAAAACATTTTTTGAATACCTGTTGTGTGCCAGGTTCTGTGCTGATTTTCCTCCAGTAATATTTTAAATTCTATAAACTAGAAGAGGCTTATTATTCTTACTTTACCTAGTTCTAGAAATTCAGGAAAAATAAGCAATAGCCCCTCCACCCAGTGGCATTAGCATCTATGCAATATGGGTTGCTAATAGTATTGGGACCTTTGTTATTGTTCTTCCTACAGAAAATCTATAAATATAATTAAAAAATATTTTGAAGAATATGCCTTGGTGGATCAAAATATTCTTGAAAACAAAGAAAGCTGGGATAAAGTTTTAGCCCTTGTTCCTGAAAAATATATCCTTTCCTGAGAACATTTCTTTGTTGTTGTTGTTGTTGTTGTTGGTCATCGGGCTTGAACTTTAGGCCTGGGTACTGTCCCTGAGCTCTTCAGCTCAAGGCTAGCATTCTACTACTTGAATCACAGTACCACTTCCAGCCTTTTCTGTTTATGTGGTACTGAGGAATCAAACCCAGGGCCTCATGTATGCAAGTTAAGCACTCTACCACTGAACTACCTTCCCAGCCCTCCTGAGAACATTTCTGTTAGCTAGTTGTATCAGTAGCATTTTAAGTATGTTTTTTTGCACAAAAATCTCCTGTGTTTTTACCTTTTTATATTGCTAGTCTAAACTCTAATGAGAAACGGGGTGGCTCACACCTGTAATCCTAGCTACTCAGGAGGTTGAAAGCTTGAAAATCTAGCTTCAAAGCTAGCCCAGGCACAAAAGTCATCAAAAGTTCATCTCCAGGGGCTGGGAAGGAAGCTCAGTGGTAGAGTGCTTAACTTGCATGGATGAGGCCCTGGGTTCGATTCCTCAGTACCACATAAGTAGAAAAAGCTGGAAGTGGCGCTGTGGCTCAAGTGGTAGAGCACTAGCCTTGAGCTGAAGAGATGAGGGACAGCACCCAGGCCCAGAGTTCAGGCCCCATAACTGACAAAAAAAAAAAAAAAAAGAAGTTGATCTCCAGGTAACCAGAAAAAACCTGGCTGGAGGCATGGCTTCAGTGGTAGAGTGCCAACCCTAAAGATGGTAGAGTGAGAGCACCCTAAAGGGTGCAAGGCCCTAAGTCCAAAACCTGAAACTAAATAAATAAGCGTGAATCATTTAGTTTAAAATACATGCAGACAAGGGAAAGCTTTCAGGTGCCCTTCCAATTACTTTAGCATTCTTTCATGTAACTGCTATTTTTATAATAGAATTTTTTTAAGGATTTAATTATTTACATTATGTTTCAGAAAATATGAATAGTAACTTCCTATATATGTATAAAGTTTAGATATCCTTGTGGTAATGCATACTAAAAACAGTTGTTCTTTGATACGCCTGAATGAGTGTTCCTTAACAAGTCACCAATTCATGATGAACTTCAAAAAGAGTTCCAGAAGTCTCACAGTTCACTTCAGCGCTGGGAGCAGTTAAAGAAAATAGTCAGTACATCTCAGATATGTTCTATTGAAATTATATTTATAAATATAATTATGCAGTTTTTTAATTAGGCTCTGATATTTTGGTCAGTTAAAAATGGTATAAGATCTTTTTGTTTTGTTTTTCTTTTTTTTATTGTGAAAATACTGTACAGAGGGGTTACAATTACATGGGCAAGAATCTTTTTTTTTTAACTGTCTTTAAAGAAATAACTCAAAAATTCCTACTGATCCTCATGCTGGTCTTGAATCTGCTTTCAGGGTAGCAATTGTGGACTCTGGCTGGAGTGGGAGATTATGCTCCAATATTGTTTTCCACGGCTGGATATCAATGTTAGCAAAGGAATCAATCATTTACTGAAGAGTCCTTTTAGTGTTCATCCTAAAACAGGTACACTGTAAAAATAAAAACTGTTTTAACAAGCATGTCATTAGATGTAAATGCCTTTGTGATGTTAAATGTGGAAGAACTGCTGTCAGTTCATACCTAAATTATTTTTGAAATGTCAAGTAGCTACCAGATTTTTTTTTTTTTTTTGGTCAGTTGTGGGGCTTGAGCTCAGGGCCTGAACTCAGGCCATGCCTGAGCTTTTTCTCTCAAGGCTAGTGCTCTACAACTTTGAGCCACAGTGCCACATACGGTTTCCTGGTAGTTAATTGAAGATAAGAGTCTTATGGACTTTTCTGCCCAGGTTGTCTTCAAACTATGATCTTCAGATCTTAGCCTCCTGAGCAGCTAGGATTACAGGCATGAGCCACCAGCACCCACCTTACCAGATGCCTTTCTGCTATCTTGAAGTGTTTCAGTTGGAGTTAGAAAGGATCTTAAAAGCTACAAGACCATTGTCATTGCACAGATGAGAAAACAAGAATTGGATAGGTTAAAGTGCCTTATCCGACGGCATAAAACCAATTGTGTCACTGCACAGAATTCAGTTCCCAAAGTACACAAGTTCTGGGCTTCTTCACTATGCATCCCTCAGAATTTTTTTGTCGTTTCTTTTTTTTTTTCCTGCTAGAACTAGGGCCTGAACAAAATGTCTAAGCACTGTCTCTTAGCTTTTTCACTCAAGGCTGGTGCTGCTCTCCTACTGAGCCACAGCTCCACTTTTGGCTTTTTGGTCTAAACCTGGCTTAGAACTGTGATCTTCACATCTCAGCCTCCTGAGTAGGTTTTAGGCATGAGCCACCAACACCTAGCTGTCCTTTTCCCTTCATATCTTGTAGCTATACGTCTTTTTACTCTTCAAGTAACAATTTCCAGTTCCCTTATTTTAGGTGTTACCTCATATTCTTTAGTGTTGTCATGTCATTTTTGAAATAAATCCCTACCCCCCGCCCCTCGCTTCTGCCCAGTTCTGAGAAGTGAACCAAGGACCTCACACATGCAAGTATTATACCACTGAGTTCCATCCCTAACCCCTAGACATGATGACTTAATGTGGCATCCCAGATGTACTATAAAAAGTAAGGTGATGGGGCCGGGCGCTGGTGGCTCACGCCTATAATCCTAGCTACTCAGGAGGCTGAGATCTGAGGATCGCGGTTCAAAGCCAGCCCAGGCAGGAGAGACCGTGAGACTCCTATCTCCAATAAACCACCAGAAAACCGGAAGTGGCGCTGTAGCTCAAGTGGTAGAGTGCTCGCCTTGAGCTGAAGAGCTGAGGGACAGCGCCCAGGCCCAGAGTTCAAGCCCCACAACCGACAAAAAAAAAAAAAGAAAAGTAAGGTGATGTTATCAAGGGTGGTGTTTCATTTAATAACAGGATACTTCCGAAAAAGATGTCATTAGTTTGTTTTGCCATTGAGCAAACATTACAGCATTTCTATACACTGAAAACTATGACGTTACTAGGCAACAAAAGCTCTTTTTACATTTTTTATTTTTTTATTTTTTCCGGTTGTGGGATTTGAACTCTGGCCTGGGCGCTGTCCCTAGGCTCTTCAGCTCAAGGCTATCGCTCTACCATTTGAGCCACAGCCCCACTTCCGCTTTTTTGGTAGTTTATTAGAGATAAGTGTTTCATAGACTTTCCTTTCTGGGCTAGCTTCAAACTATCCTCAGATCTCAGTCTCTTGAATAGCTAGGATTATAGGCATGAGCTACTGGTGCCTGCCCCCCACCCCAGCACTCTGTAAAATTAAAATCAAAATTAACCAAAAATAACTGTTTTGTATTCTATCACCATCAATTTATAACCTCTGGTTCTTACAGGTCGCATTTCTGTGCCTATTGATTTACAGAACGTAGATCAGTTTGATCCATTTACTGTTCCAACTATAAGGTATGTTCTAGATCATTGATCAGTCCTTATTTGTGAATATTGTTTTGAATTCGAAGGAGACTTATCCCCCCCCCCAACGAAGGAGACTTATATTAGGTCCCTTCTTAGAGAGCTAGATATACCAGAATAGTATATTTGGTTATGAAAATACTTTATTGTAAGATAAGTTGATGATGCCCTAATATAAAAAGATTGCCGAGCACTGGTGGCTCACGCCTGTAATCCTAGCTACCCAGGAGGCTGAGATCTGAGGATCGTGGTTCAAAGCCAGCCTGGGCAGAGTCCATGAGGCTCTTATCTCCAATAAACCACTAGAAATCTGGAAGTGGCACTGTGGCACTTGCCTTGAGCTGAAGAGTGCAGGGACAGCACCCAAGCCCACAGTTCAAGCCCCATGACCGACCAAAAAAAAAAATTATAAGAAGTCTGGGAAGATCTAGGGTGTAGCTCAGAATAAAACTCTGGACTCAATGCTCAGCACCCTAAATAATAACAACAACAACAAGATGGGGGCTGGGAAGGTAGCTCAGTGGTAGAGCGCTTGCCTTGCGTGCTGAGGCCCTGGGTTCGATTCCTCAGCACCACATAAGCAAAAAGCCGGAAGTGGCGCTGTGGCTCAAGTGGTAGAGCGCTAGCCTTGAGCTGAAGAGCTGAGGGACAATGCCCAGGCCCAGAGTTCAGGCCCCACGACTGGACCCAAAAAAACAACAACAACAACAACAAGATGATGATGATGATTATTATAAACCTGAGAAATGCCAACTTAGACATACCAAAAGTTTTAGGCTAAGGATGTAACAGTAGTGTAGCATTTGTGTAACTACAAGGACCAGGTTCCATCCCTAACACTGCACCAAAAAAAAAATCTTTGTTTCGTATTTGTCTAGTCTTTAGCAATATTCTTGAAAAAACTCTACAACTTTTTTTTTTTTTTTTGGTCAGTTGTGGGGCCTGAACTCTCAGTCCTCAGCTCTTCAGCTCAAGGCTAGTGCTCTACCACTTGAGCCACAGCACCACTTCCTGTTGTGTGGTGGTTAATTGGAGATAAGAGTCTCACAGACTTTCTGCCTGGGCTGGCTTTGAACCGTGATCCTCAGATCTCAGCCTCCTTAGAAGCTAGGATTACAGGCATGAGCCACCAGCACCCTGCCTAATTAATTTAATTTACTAAGATGCCATGATTTTCAGACTATACCAAATTTAACCCACCACTTTTTTTCATTTTGTTTTGTTAATTGGCCTGGGGTGGGGCCCATGGCCTTCCTTGTACATGTTAAGCAAGTACACTACCCCTGGGCTACAGACTAAACACATAATATTTTCCACAACACAATGGGATTCAAATGTAGCAGGCACTACCTTTAAATTTCTCTTGTTTTAGGGCTGGGAAGGTGGCTCAGTGGTAGAGCGCTTGCCTTGCATGCTCGAGGCCCTGGGTTCGATTTGTCAGCACCACATAAGCAAAAAGAAAAAGCCGGAAGTGGCGCTGTGGCTCGAGTGGTAGAGCGCTAGCCTTGAGCTGAAGAGCTGAGGGACAGCACCCAGGCCCAGAGTTCAGGCCCCATGACCGGACCCAAAAAAAGATTATAAAAAAATTTTTTTCTTGTTTTGTTACGTTTAGCGCTATCTGCCATGAATTGGATGTCATTTCCACTAATGAAAAGGAAAAAGGAGAAGGTGAAACTGAATCTGATACCAAACATAGAACCAGAAGTAAGTAAACATATTACATATTGAAACTTACCTTTTTTTTTGAGCCACTACTGGGGCTTGAACCCAGGGCCTGGACACTGCCCCTTAGCTCTTTCACTCAAGGCTGGTACTGTATTACTTGAATCACTTACAGCTTTTTGGTGGTTAATTGGAGATAAGTCTCATGGACTTTCCTGCCCAGGCTGTCTTTGAATCGAGATCCTCAGATCTCAGCGTCCTGAGTAGATAGAATTACAGGCGTGAGACACTGGCACCGATTCAAGCTTTTCGTTTAAATATCCATCTGCATTCCAGTAATCAGTTCTCCTTAGAATCAGAACAGAATGGTGAATGTTTATTGTGAAAGCTATTCTGTAATATGTAAAGCTATAAGAGTGCTTGTTGTTCATCAATTCCCCAAGTGATTTTACTGAATCAAATGTTTCAACATACATTTAGTAAGCAACTTCTAAACACTGGGATCTATACTGGAATATTAAATTGTCAGTTGACATTGATAATTATTTAAATGTGTGTGTGCGTGTGTGTGCGCGCGCGCGCGTGTGTGTGTGTGCGTGCGTGCGCTCGCACGTGAGCTAGTCCTGGGGCTTGAACTCAGAGCCTGGATGCTGTCTCTGAGCTTTTTTTGCTCATGGCTAGTGCTCTACCACTTGAACCACAGTTCTACTTCTGCTTTTTGTGATTAGCTAAGATGACAGGCATAAGCCAGTAGTGTGGAAACCAGACTTCCAGTTAACTTAAGATAAAATATTTTGACTGCTGGGCACAGGCGGTTCACACCTGTAATCCTAGCTACTCAAGAGTCTGAGATCTGAGAATTGAGGTTCAAAGCCAGCCTGGGCAGGAAAGTCCTTGAAATTCTTACCTCCAATAAACCACCAGAAAACCTTAAGTGATGCTGTGGCTCAAGTGGTAATGCTAGCCTTGAGCTGAAGAGCTTAGGGACAGTGCACAAGCCCAGAGTTCAAGCCCCAGGACTCACTTAAAAATAAATATATATGTATATTTTTTTGACTTATACTTTTTTTTTTGTCAGTCGTGGGGCTTGACCTCTGGGCTTGGGCGCTGTCCCTGAGCTCTTCAGCTAAAGGAGACCACTTAAAGCCACAGCGCCACTTCTGATTTTCTAGTGGTTTTATTGGAGATAAGAGTCTCACGGATTTTCCTGCCCGAGCTGGCTTTGAACCGGGCTGGCTTTGAACCGTGATCCTCATATTTCAGTCTCCTGAGTAGCTAGGATTACAGGCGTGAGCCACCGGCACCCAGCTGACTTATACTTTTTTAAAATTCAGCATAGGACTTAATATATAACATGTAGTCAGTGAATATTTAAATAATTACTTGTGCTTATAATATTTAAATTATTTTATTTTATTTTTTTGGGGTCCGGTCATGGGGCCTGAACTCTGGGCCTGAGCACTGTCCCTCAGCTCTTCAGCTCAAGGCTAGCGCTCTACAGCTTGAGCCATAGTCCCACTTCGGCATTTTTCTTTTTGCTTATGTGGTGCTGAGGAATTGAACCCAGGGCCTCAGGCATGCAAGGCAAGTGCTCTACCACTGAGCCACCTTCCCAGCCCCTACACTTTAAATTATGTTTTCTTATTATTCTTGCTGCTAACATGCTAATTACAGTTTACCTGCTTCATAATTCAGATTATAAGAAGACCAGTCTAGCACCCTATGTCAAAGTATTTGAACAATTTCTTGAAAACCTGGATAAATCACGGAAAGGAGAACTTCTCAAGAAGAGTGGTAAGACTACTCTCTCCCTTTTCCTAGTTGGATCTTTTATTATTATTATTATTTTATTATTATAAAGTACAGAGGAATTACAGTTATATAAGTCAGTTAAGAGTATATTTAGCTGGATCTTCTTAAATCTTCTGTTAAAAGTAGCCAGCAGTCAGGCACCAATGGCTCATGCGTGTAGTCCTAGCTACTCAGGAGGCTGAGATCTGAGGATCATGGTTCAAAGCCAACCCAGGCAATAAAATCCATGAGACTTTTGTCTTGTCGGTCTGGGCTTGGGCGTGTCCCTCAGCTCTTCAGCTCAAGGCTAGCGCCCTGCCACTTGATCCACAGCACCACTTCCAGTTTTTTCTGCTTATGTGGTGCTGGAAAATCAAACCCAGGGCCTCATGCATGCGAGGCAAGCACTCTACCACTGAGCCATCTTCCCAGTTCCTCCATGAGACCCATCTCCAATTAACCACCAGAAAACCGTAAGTGGCAGTGTGGCGTAAGTGGTAGTGTGCTAACCTTGATCTGAAAAGCTGTGGGACAGAGCCCGGGCCCAGAGTTCAAGCCCCACAACCAAACAAAACACAAGAAACAAAAAAACTTATTTTCACTTTTTCTAAAGCCCACACTACAGCTGAGCTACTATAGAATGGGAATACAGAAGACTTAATAAAGGCAGCTTCAACGAGGCGTTTCAAGATCAGTCATCGTTGTTTATTTCATAAGCACATATTTGAATGTATTATGATTAAAACATCTTAGGCACCACATAAAGCAATACACATTGAATTCAAAAATCAAGTGGGAAAGGAGTTTGTATATACTGCCTTAATTCCAGAAAATCCAATTTCTTGAATAATGTTCATCTTGGTTTTTCTCCTTTTGGCTCCATTGTGAAGTCTCTCTGAGTCAGAAAACTTCACTGACACTGCTACCTCTGTGTACCTTCTCCTGGTTATATATCCTCTAGGATCATACCAGTTCTCTACTACCTTTGACACTTGATACTTTCCTTGAAACTCCATCTTTCACCTCTCTACTTGTAAATAATTACCAAGCCTCGAGAATGCTTCGAGGATGCTTCCAGAATTGGAGATTTCCAGTATTCGAGATTTCCAATGCTATTGTCCCCATGGCAATAATCCAACTGGCCTCTCAGGGCTTTCTTCTATCCCATTATCACCTCAGATTTACCTTTTTTAGAAAGTACAAGTCATATTACTGTCTTCCTCAAAATCTAACAACCTTCCCTGTTCGTTCCTATTACAATGAGCTCAAACAAAGTCTATACCTTGGACTGCTTCTTCTGATTTAAATTTCTTTAATTTAAATTTCTTTACATCCAGATTGGTTGTACTAGCTTGATGAATTGGTTGTACTAGATTAATGACCTCTAGACTAAAGTGTTGCTTTCTGTCTTGCCTTTGTTCTTATTGTTGCTTCAAGAATAAATCCTGGGGGCTGGGAAGGTGGCTCAGTGGTAGAGCGCTTGCCTTGCATATATGAGGCCCTGGGTTCTATTCCTCAGTACCACATAAGCAAAAAGAAAAAAGCGGAAGTGGCGCTGTGGCTCAAGTGGTAGAGCGCTAGCCTTGAGCTGAAGAGCTGAGGGACAGTGCCCAGGCCCAAAGTTCAGGCCCCACGACCGGACCCAAAAAAAAAAAAAGAATAAATCCTGAAGCCAATTGCCAGGGGCTCATGCCTGTAATCCTAGCTACTCAGGAGGCTGAGATCTGAGGATTGCAGTTCAAAGCCAGCCCAGGCAGGAAAGTCCATGAGACTCTTATCTCCAATAAAACCATTAGAAAACCGGAAGTGGTGCTGTGGCTCAAGCAGTACAGCGCTCACCTTGAGCTGAAGAGCACAGGGACAGCGCCCAAGCCCAGAGTTCAAGCTCCACGACCTAAATAAATAAATCCTGAGATGCCTGGGTTTGTAGCTTAGTGGTAGCATAATTACCTAGTTAGAATGTGTAAGGCCTAGGGTTTTGGGGTTTGTTTTTTGTGTTTTTGTTTTTTGCCAGTCTGGGGCTAGAACTCAGGGCTTGGGCACTGTCCCTGAGCTTTTTTTTTTTTTTTTGTCCCTGAGCTTTTTTGTTTTGTTTTTTGGTCCGGTCGTGGGGCCTGAACTCTGGGCCTGGGCGCTGTCCCTCAGCTCAAGGCTAGCACTTCAGCTCAAGGCTAGCGCTCTACCACTTGAGCCACAGCGCCACTTCCGCTTTTTTCTTTTTGCTTATGTGGTGCTGAGGAATCGAACCCAGTGCCTCATGCATGCAAGGCAAGCACTCTACCACTGAGCCACCTTCCCAGCCCCCTGTCCCTGAGCTTTTTGCTCAAGGCTGACACTCTACCACTTGAACCACAGCACCATTTCCAGCTTTTTTCTGTTTATGTGGTACTGAGGAATCAAACCCAGGGCTTCCTGCATGCTAGGCAAGCACTCTACCACTAAGCCACATCCCCATCCCAAAGCCTACATTTACCCCTACCATGGTGGGGGGTGGGGGGAGAAGGCGGGGAATGAGCAAAGCTATTTTCCAATGCTGTATCCTTATTGAATTTCTACTTGTCTTACTCCTACCTCAGTGAATGATATATTGGTATTTAGAGATTCGGTTATTAATGTTTATAATTTGGGGGATATGTCTCCTTGTGTATCACAGGCTTGTCTAGAATGGATTATGTAAGTCTGGCTTCTGTCGTCCTGCCTAGGCCTCCCAGGTTATCCAAATGGGCTACCACACCTCCAGAGATTAGAATTCTTTTTTTTTGGGGGGGGGTCCGGTCATGGGGCCTGAACTCTGGGCCTGAGCACTGTCCCTCAGCATTTCAGCTCAAGACTAGCGCTCTACCACTTGAGCCACAGCACCATTTCCAGCTTTTTTCTTTTTGCTTACGTGGTGCTGAGGGCCTCAGGCATGCAAGGCAAGTGCTCTACCACTGAGCCAATTTCCCAGCCCGAGATTAGAATTCTTATAGAAGTTCTCTGAAAGGAGTTCAAATATTAATACCACCTTTCACAGGGGAAAAAAAAAAACCTAGGCATTGCACATTCTAACTATTCTACCACTAAGCTACAAACACAGGCATCTCAGGATTTATTCTTTTTCTTTTTCTTTTTTTTTTTGGTCAGTCATGTGGCTTGAACTCTGGACCTGGTCGCTGTCCCTCAGCTCTTCAGCTCAAGGCTAGCACTCCACCATTTAAGCTACAGTGCCACTTCCAGCTTTTTCTGTTTATGTGGTGCTAAGGAATCAAACCCAGGGCCTTAGGCATGCAAGGCAAGCACTCTACCACTAAGCCACTTTCACAGCCCCTCAGGATTTATTCTTGAGGAAAGGCAAAGACAGAAAGCATCACTTTAGTCTAGAGGTCATCAAGCTAGTACAACCAATTTGGAAAAATAGATGTGTTTGGATGTAAAGAAATTTAAGTCAAATGAAACAGGCCAAGGTATAGACTTTGTCTGGGCTTATTGTAATAGGAACAGGGAAGGTTGTTAGATTTTTGGAAGAGAGTGACATGATTTGTACTTTCTAAAAAAGGTAAATCTAAGGTGATAATGGTATAGAAGAGAGTCCTGAGAGGCCAGTTGGGCTGTTGCTGTTAGGACAATAACATTAGAAATCTCGAATACTGGGGCTGGGAAGGTGGCTCAGTGTAGACTGCTTGCCTTGCATGCATGAGGCCTCTGGGTTCGATTCCTTATCACCACATAAGCAGAAAAAGCCAGAAGTGGCACTGTGGCTCAAGTGGTAGAGTGCTAGCCTTGAGCGGAAGAGATGAGAGACAGAGCCCAGGGCCAGAGTTTAGGCCCCACCACTGGCAAAACAACAACAACAAAAACTCGAATACTGGAAATCTCCAATACTGGAAGCATCCTCAAGGCTTGATAATTATTTACAAGTAGAGAGGTGAAAGATGGAGTTTCAAGGAAAGTATCAAGTGTCAAATGTAGTAGAGAACTGGTATGATCCTAGAGGATATATAACCAGGAGAAGGTACACAGAGGTAGCAGTGTCAGTGAAGTTTTCTGACTCAGAGAGACTTCACAATGGAGCCAAAAGGAGAAAAACCAAGATGAACATTATTCAAGAAATTGGATTTTCTGGAATTATGGCCGTATTAGAGAAATATAAACTCCTTTCCCACTTGAATTTTTTTTTTTTTTTTTTGGGTCCGCTCATGGGGCCTGAACTCTGGGCCTGGGCGCTGTCCCTCAGCTCTTCAGCTCAAGGCTAGCACTCTACCACTTGAGCCACAGCGCCACTTCTGGCTTTTTTCTTTTTGCTTATGTGGTGCTGAGGAATCGAACCCAGGGCCTCATGCATGCAAGGCAAGCACTCTACATTGAGCCACCTTCCCAGCCCTCCCAATTGATTTTTGAATTCAATGTGTATTGCTTATGTGGTGCCTAAGATAATGTGCTTATCAAATTAACAATAAGACTGATCTTGAAAAGCTTCGTCTTTTGTTTTTTGGTAGGTCATGGGGCTTGAACTCTGGGCCTGGGTGCTGTCCCTCAGCTCTCCAGCTCAAGGCTAGCACTCTACCACTTGAGCAACCACCCCACTTCCGTTTTCTGAGTGGTTTATTGGAAATAATAGTCTCGTGGACTTTCCTGCCCTGGCTGGCTTTGAAATGAGATCCTCAGATCTCAGCCTCCTGAGTAGCTAGGATTACATGCATGTGCCACCATCACCCAGCCTTTTTTTTTTTTTTTGTACTCATGGGGCTTGAACTCTGGGGCTGAACACTGTCCCTCAGCTCTTCAGCTCAAGTCTAGTTCTCTACCACTTGAGCCACTTCAGGTTTTCTGAATACTTTATTGGAAATGAGAGTCTCACAGACTTTCCTGCCCAGGCTGGCTTTGAACCAAGATCCTCAGATCTCAGCCTTCTGAGTAGCTAGGATTACAGGTGTAAGCCACCCATGGCACCTGGCTTGTTGTGTTTTTGTATTAATACTAGGCTTTAATTCATGACAGGGCCTAGTGCTGTTGTTCAGCTTTTTTTCCTCCAAGGCTGGTGTTCTACCATTTGAATCACACCTCCACTTCCAGCTTTTACTGGTTAATTGGAATAGTCTCAGATTGTCTGACCAGGCTAGCTTTGGTCCTTAGATCTCAGCCCTCTGGGTAGCTAGTATTACCAGCCTAACCCACTGATTCCCTGTAGGAAAGCAAATCTTTATGTATGATATGAATTTCATGGATGTCTTAGGCCAGTCAGAATGTGGAAAAAATAAATGTATGTTCTTTCCCTTTATTGCTGTGTGACAAAAACCTATTCTTTTTTAGATTTACAAAGAGATTTCTGAAGACAACTCCCCTCAGATTAATGTGGACATCATCTACCTTCAACCAAGGATCAGATATTTCAGGAGCCATTTAATAAATGTGTCAGAGCCATCTATGGGTATTAAAGGCTTAAAGTAGAATTCTCTTTTCTTGAGAAATAATTTGTGCTCACAGGATTTTTTTTTTTTCAGAATACTAGAGGGTGGTAAAGTTCCTAAAAGAGTAAAAATAAAGAATAAGCAAGTTGCAGGTGATTTTGTAAATTTAATATTATACAAAGATAATTCTAAGACTTCTGGGGTAAATATTCAGTTCTATCAGTTGCCAAGGTAAGTGAGCAGTAATATGTCCAAAACTTCTATTTTTAGCTCACAACTATTTCAGTTGTAGATAGATCTTTTTTCCCTCAGAGCAATTGGATTAGCCTTCATAAAGTAGCAGATTAGGAAAACTAACCAGTTTCACCACTATAAAAGCTATTGTAGGGCTGGGAATGTGGCTTATTAGAGTGCTTACCTAGTATTCATGAAGCCCTGGGTTCAATTCCTCAGTACTACATAATCAGAAAAATCCAGAAGTGGCACTGTGGCTCAAGTGTTAGAGTGCTAGCCTTGAGCAAAAGAAGTTCAGGGGCAGTACCCAGGAACCTGAGTTCAAACCCCAGGACTGGCAGCAAAAAAAAAAAAAAGAAAGAAAACCTATTGTATTTGTTAAAACACTTGAGACAGGATGGGAAGGTGGCTTAGTGGTAGAGTGTTTGCCTCTCATGCATGAGGCCCTGAGTTCGATTCCTCAGTACCACATAAACAAAAAAAGCTGGAAATGGCACTGTGGCTCAAGTGGTAGAACAAGCACTACTTGAACTGAAGAGCTGAGGGATAGTACCAAGGCCCAGAGTTCAAGCCCCACAACTGACAAAAAAAACACTTGAGACTTTCTACAGATATGTATAAATTTTTTAAGGTTTTTTGTTTTTTCTTTTTTTTAGGGGGTAATGGATTGTAAAGGGTCAAGATTTGTCTTGATTGGTTTGATAATCTAAACAAAACTATTCTAGTTTACATGCTGTCTTCTGGGAATTGAAAAGCAAGCTGTCAGGGTAGTGTTCTTTATAATGCCATGAAAATTTCCCTGTTTTGCCTTTAACATTTTATTTTCTCCATTGTCACCATCTTTTTTGTCTTTTGTTTTATATCAAACAGATTATAAAGCAGTAACAAACTGAAATGTTTTTTTCTTCCTCTTTTTAAGAAAAAAATATTAAAGTCTATTTTGCAAAATTCCTCATCATTTGACCTTATGTGTTATTCAGTCTAGAATTTTGTTTTGTTTTTTTGCCATCCCTGGGGCTTGAAATGGATTAATAAATCTTTTGTAATTTTGTAATCAGGACTTTTTTTTCCCCCTGAGCATTAAACTCAGGGTCTGGGCACTGTCCCTGAGCTACTTTTGCTCAAGGCTAGTACCACACTACCACTTTCAGCTTTTCTTGAGAAAAGAGTTACAAAGACTTTCCTGCCTGGGCTGGCTTGAACTGCCATCCTCAGATCTGAGCTTCCTGAATAGCTAGGATTACAGGCTTGAGCCACCATTACCCACCTTATTTTGTGTTTTGAAATAAGGTTTTACTGGCTGGTTTGTACCAGTACACCTGACCAATCTTCAGTTGAAATCTGAAATCAATTTGTCAATTAAAACTCCTGAGTACACAGGCTGGGAATGTGGCTTAGTGGTAGAATGCTTACCTAGCATGCATACAGCCCTAGGTTCAATTCCTCAGTACCACATAAACAGAAAAGGCTGGAAGTGGCTCAGTAAGTGTTAAGAGTCCTAGCCTTGAGCAAAAGAAGTTCAGGGACAGTGCCCAGGAAAAAAATCTCCAGTACAAAATTATGAAAGATTTTTTCATCTCAAGAGCTCAGAGAGTAAGACTAAAACCCTTTCAAAGGGAGACAGTTTATGCTTCCTATAGTTTTATAAATGTCTAGTTGCTATTAAATCTTTAATATGGAAGCCCTTGAATAAAAGCTGGAATACTAACCCATAAAATTAATTACAGAACATACTATGCTCATTAAAAAGTCAATGTTTACCAGGTGCCAGTAGCTCACACCTGTAATCTTAGCTACTCAGGAGCTGAGATTTTAGGATCACGCTTCTAAGCCAGCAGGGGCAGGAAAGTCCATGAGACTTATCCAATAAGCTACTCAGAAAAAGCCAGAAGTGGCTCTGTGGCTCAAGTGGTAGATCACTACCCTTGAGCAGAAGAAGCTCAAGGGTAGTGCCCAGACCCTGAGTTCAAGCCCCAGGACTGGCAAAAAAAAAAAAAAGTCAATGTTAACAGTTGGTGGCTTAGGTGGTAGTCTGCCAACCAATGAATTGAAAGTGTCAGGTACTAAGTTGCAGTGCCTGTTGGATCAAAAAAAAAGAAAAGGAAGTTAAAGTTTGCCTCCTGAAGAGAACAGAAACATACTATTGACTTCTCTTTCCTAATTTGCCAACTCATTGATGAAGGGTAGAAACAAAGTAAAAGAAAATACAAGCTTTCAGCCAAGAGCTAGTGGCTCACACCTGTAATCCTAGCTACTTAGGAGGCTGAGATCTGAGGATCATGATTCAAAGCCAGCCCAGGCAGGAAAGTCCATAAAACTCATCTCCAATAAACCATCAGAAAACCGGAAGTGGCACTATGGCTAAACTGGTAGAGAGCTAACCTTGAACTGAAGAGCTGAGGGGGGCAGCACCCAGGCTGTTCAAGCCCCACGACTGACAAAAAGAAAATACAAGCTTTCTAGATTTTGTTTGTTTGTTGAACTGGGACTTTTCAATGCTTTCTGTGAGAACTTCTTCAAACTATTAAGCCCAATGCTGCTGCTTATGGTATGGGAGTCAGTAGACTTTTCATTAATGAAGAATTGATTTTATATTCTGCTTTTCAAGAATCCTTATGAAGTATGGTTCCCTCAACTTTTAGGGTCCTGGACTCCTAAAGATTTTAGAGCAAGAATTCTCCAAAATGGGCCAAAAAAAAATTGTATGTGTGCTTATGTGCTCCCCCATCTCCGGAGTGGAGAGTTAACAGCAAAATAACTACATTACCCTATAGTCCAAAAATACAATTGGGGCTTCTACTTTCTAATGATGTGAATACAATCTGTGATATTTGCTTTTGTTGTTGGTTGTGGGGCTTGAAGCTCAGGGCTTGGGAGCTGCCCCCAGCCTCTCTGTGCTCAAGGCTAGCGCTCTGCCACCACACCACCACTTCTGGTTTTGGAGTGGTTAACTGGAGATGAGTCTCGCAGGGACTTTTCTGCTGCGACTGGCTTCGAACCGCGATCCTCAGAATTACAGGCATGAGCCACTGACAATTTTTTATTATTGTTTTTCTTAGACATACATGGTCTCCCAATATGGCACAAGCTGGTGATCCTCTTACCCCAGCCTCATGAGAGCTGGAAATACAGGTGTGCACCACCACACCAGCTGCATTCACTTAATGTCTTCCTGAATTAGTAGCAGCGACATGGATACTAAACCGCCGCGGCCACTGCGGGCGGAGCTTGAGCCTCCCAAGGGAAGGGAAGGGCGGCCAAGGCCGGCACGTCCGCTGAAGAATTGTTAGCCTTATTTAGACCTGGTCCCCGCCCCCACGCCGACAACAACCTGACGGGTGCCCCGTTAAAGAAAGTGTCTGGCCGCCGCGCTCGACCCGGAAGCAGATCAAGGTCCCGCCTCCTCCGCTCCGGCTTCCTTCTGCGGCACAGGCGTGGGTCACGCTCTCGCCAGTTCTCTCTCTACCGCCATCTTGGCTCCGCGTCCTTCGCGCAGTAAGTGCCGTCTGCGCCGCCACTCTATCCGCTGCCATCTGCCTTCCTCGAAGGCTGGGTCGCCCGGAAGACTTAAGAGTTAGGAAGGTTTGGAGGCTTTGGGAAGGGCTACCGTGTTTCTACTTGTCTCTGGGCCTCTGGGCAAAATGGGGGTCTGCGGTTGAGAAGTAGGACATGAGGGCCGCGGGCGGGCTGGAGTCGCGTTGAGCCTACGGTTGGGGCCCGCTTCCGAGTCGCGGCAGGTAGGCCACGGGGGATCACAACATTAGAACACCCCCAACGCCGGTCCCATTGTGACTTAAGCAACCTCCTGGCTCTTGGAAGTGGTCCAGACAGGGTTCGGGGGCGTTAGGAGGGAGGAGGGCTCAAAGTGGGGTCTTCTACGTCAGGAGCATTCCCATACCCCCTCGGGGTCGAGAACGCAGTGGTGATTTCTGGTTTTGTGGGTCAGTAATTGGAATGCAGCGAGACCTGGACACTGCCACCGCGGGGTGAAGCAGCTTGGTTGAGAGGTGATCCGCTTGGTAGAAGTCTGAGTCAGTATAGACAGAGATGCCTTATTCCTAGGTTGTCCCCCAGATCTTTGGGATTTGTTTTCCTAACCTTTCACAGAAATCTTAATACTTGGCTCTTGGTGGGACAGATTGAATCCATGCCAGTCAATTTAGGCCTCCTTTTTATTCCCTTCAGAAATGCCCGGTGAAGCCACAGAAACCGTCCCTGCTACAGAGCAGGAGTTGCCACAGCCCCAGGCTGAGACAGGTAGGTGTCACAGGCGCGGCCCCCTCTCCCCCGCCCCCCATAGCTCATAATGTCTTTTGGTGGGTAAAAAGAGGAATTACGTACCTGCTTTGTAGAGTTTGCCATCATTAAAGTATTAATGATTGGGTTTGTTGCTTTACCAGAGCAAGAAAGACCACAAAGTTGACTGCTGTGTTGCAAGAACTTGAGGGGGGTGGAATAAAAATAAAGACAAGTTGCAGCCTGCTTTGTGCATTATGTCAACTGACTCAATTAGTTCTGTGGACCCTCCACCTCCAGAAAAACTGAGGGGAGAGACTTGGAGAGTCTTACCTATTGGGACTTGATGATACATAGGCAGGCCAAGAACTGAGCTTTTGGGAAGTTCAGCCAGCAAGTTGCATCAAGGTTTTAGATAGCAGGGCTTGGCATTGCGCCTTCATCACATGTCTGGGTGAGCTGGATGTGGTGATAAATGTGTCCTACTGAGCCCCAGAGTCCTGCTAGGTCAGTAAACTGAGATATTTCTAGTGTACTGGAATGGTGTCTAAACCATTGTATGGAGCCCAAGATTGAAATGAGGCTTTTCTTTGGTGTTTTTTAAAGTAATGGGTGTAGAATTCTGTGAAAGCAAGTTTTGTATTCTTGTTGAAGCATGTCTCGATAGGGAAGAGCAGTAGTAGGAAAGAAATGTGAAATGGCAGTGTTGCTAAATCGGTTGTAGAGAGCTGAGTGAAGAGTGTCCCTAAGACTTGTTGGTTCTGTTATTTTTTTATGACAGATTTATATGTATGTGTTCCACCTGCCACTCTAGGACAACTGTCTCCTTTTGAAGTTAAAATTAAGTTGTTTATAGATAAAAGCATTAAGGTTCTCCCTCCCCACCTGTCTGACTTTAGCAGCTGAAGGGATTAATACAGCTGCTAGGAAAGAAAGGAGACCTCAGGGCTGCTTAATGAGCAATGTGAAGATTGTCTCATTGAACTTAATTTTAGAAGTGTTGGAAAGTAGGTGAATTTAGCAATTTCTGGTTCCCAGCTGTAAAACTCTTCACAAGCATTGTATGTTAATGCTGTTAAACATTCCTTATTAGTCCTAAGCTTGTGCAGAAGGCTTATATTAAGGGAGTGACTGTAACTATAATTAGTGTTGTTCTAATGAATGAAAAAGCTGGCTCAGGGAATCAGTTACAGTGTCAACACTAGTGATTTGGACTTCATCCCATCTTTAGGTCCACTAAGAAGACAACGTCCCATGTTTTAAGTTCTGGTTAATATGTTTGAAAGTATTTGCACTGTGATTATGTCTTCAGCTTACCAGTTCTTCAGGAAAAACTAGTTCAGTCACCTTTCTTTCCTATAGTCTCATTCTATATAAGAGCCTCAGAATTAGCTGGTTCAGTGAATTGTGGATTTGGGTGCCATGAGCTTTACCTTTTCTTTTAAACCTACCTTCAGTATTTGTCAGTTGAATCTAATATTACCTTTTGAATGGTATTTTTTCCCCTCCATCAGAAAACCTTTTTTTGTTTTAATATAGTATCCAATATTGGTCTGTTTTGCTAGAATGAAATACCCAGATTAAGGGGTAGGAATCTGGAATGTTCTCTTACTCTTAGTTCTCTCCACTTCCAAAATAGAACTACAGGGTGGTTTAATAAATTGGGTTAGAATTTCATAATGCAGTTCCCACTCTTATGACTAAGCGCCCTCTCTGGAGATCTAAATCATTTTGGATTGATGTCTGAAGAGCTAACATTCCTGAGGAAGGGAAAATGGAGTCCAACCCATTTGTGGTTAGGTGTTTTTTTCTTTCTGGTTTTGTTAAGTAAACTGAGGCTTATAGAGGGTGACGGTTTTTAACATTGAGTATGAAGTTCTGAGTTTTCCAGAGTATTAAAAACCTGCTTTTTCTCATTTAGCTCTGACTCCCCATCTGTTCAGTCTGCCTTCCTTGTTCGGTTTTCACTGTTTTGTTTTATGGACCTTGGGTATACAGGGTAGCACAGCTGTTCTAGTGGTAATTCTATTGCTGTGAGAAAAGACTTGGGAATGGAGAGTCCATTTTAATCTCTTCCCTCTCGGCTCAGGAGAGGGCACAACTGGAAGAGGGCAGAAAGCATGTTCCCAATCTACTCCTGGTTCTGTGCTCTTTAGTTAGAGATAGTCTAAGACTTTACCTATCTTCAGGTAACTAAATTTGGTAGAACTTGGGCAGTGGGAACTAGAGGGGAGTGGAGCTAGAACAGTATATTTGGCACTTGACCAATGAAGTATGTTTGGGAAAAGTTGGTGTTGTCTGTCACCTTCCTTTGTCTAATCCTGTGTGGTGACCTTCATTCTCAGATTTAAACTACATTGTTTCCTGTGAGGCATGTTAAACCAATTGGGCTGTACAACTCACCTTTTTTCCCCCCTCCCTTTATCTCCTTTTTTGCTTTTTCCCTCCAGCTGTGCTTCCTATGTCTTCAGCCTTGAATGTCACTGCTGCCTTAGGGCAGCATGGGCCTCCCCTTTCCTCTCCTTGTTCCCTGCCCTCCCAACAATGTCCTGTAGCAACTGCTAACCATCCTTCCCTGGTCCCTTCACCCACTGTTGCCTCAACTGCTTTTGAAGTTTCTTTTCCCCACCCATCCTCTGGAATGACTATGGAAACTGCCCCTGACACCCCAACTTTCCTGCCACACCTAATAGGGCCTCCCATCTCTCCAGCTGCATTAGCTCTGGCCTCTCCAATGATAGGTCCAGCTCTGAAAGGTGCCCATTCTCCTTCAGCTCCCTTGTCTCTGGTTGCATTGGCTCCTCACTCCATTCAGAAGAGTTCAGTTTTCCCACCTAATCCTGTTAGCTCACTCCCACCAGCTACTCTAACTATGTCAGGGTCGGTGACACCCCTGTCGGCTCCCATTGCTCCCTCAGAACCAAAAACCTCCCCTACTCAAGATCTCTCTCAGATAATCCCTAATCCAAAAGGTACAACTCCAGATTCTCCAGGTATAGTTAGTACCATTCCTTCCCACCTTGTAACACCCTTGGCCTCGGTTCAGTCTGGAATGACCTCCTGTGCTAAGACACTACCCATCAGTCCCCCAGTCATCACTTCTCATGTTCAAAATGTCCCTATTTCCTCAGGTCTGACCCCACAAAGCATGTTAAGCCTCAGTCTAAAGGGGCCTGTTGGTGTACCTGCTCAAAAGACTATAGCTCCCAACATCCCCCCAGCTTCTCCCACTTCTCTGGGCTCTCCTATGGCTGTATATCAGAGTCCTTTGGGTTCCCCTATCCAGTTTTCAGATCAAAGAGGTACCAATACTCTGTCAGATCATATAGTGAATACCATTTCTGCAGATAATTCTTCCCAGGGAGCCTCTTATCTATCTCAGAAGTGTGTGATTTCTCCCCTTCCTTCCAGAAAGGAGCTGGTTGCTGATGCTATGATTCCTCTTCCAGTGGGTGTGCCAGCTTCTGCTGTTGTAGCTCAGTCTGTCGACAAAGACCACTCTTCTACCACTAGTATAGCGTCTTACAACCCTTCTGAATCCCTAGATAAAGCTTCTTTATTATCCCCTACAGCCTCTCTCATTCTCAAAGGCTCTGCTAATACCTCACATCTTCAGCCTTTGATGACCCAGATTCCTGCTTCTTCAGGAACAGGCTTGAAAGAAGCTTCTGTCAGAACCACCCCAGTTGTGACTAACACTTCAATGATTTCTGTGTCACCTGCTACCTTTGAGATAGCTACTTGTGTGTCCCCTGCAGATTCATCAGGTATCATAAGTAGTAAAAAACCAACTTCTTCTGCCAACTTGGTTATACAACCAGAGGCTCGTAATGAGCTTCCTACTCAGGTAGCATCTACTCAGGGTGTACCATTCTCTCCTCTGCCAGCTTCTGAAGACTTCAAAACCTGCCCTGCTTCAGTATTGGCAAACATAGGAGTCCCCATTTCTCCAGCCCAGGCAGGACTTCCTGACAGGAAAGATCATACTCTACTACCTTTAGCTCTGACATCCCCTAAAATTTCTCCCTCTCTTGAAAGTACATCATCTCTGGAGAAAACACCTGAAACCACTCCAGCAATGAAAGGTCTTACAGGGCCTCTCCCTGTGACCAAGCCAGCGGATTCTACTGCTGCTTGTCTGGGTGTTAACTCCCCAATCTCTATAAGCAAGACTAATCCTTATACTAGCCCAGATCCTGCTAGCCTGCTTCTCAAAAGTTCTATCACTGCTCCAACTGAGGCTACCTTTACTTTGGAAGGTTTTGATCCTGCAAGAACTACCAAAGGTCCCTCTACTTCTGCAACTACAGTTCTAGAAGAACTCTCTTTAGCTCCTAAAAAATACACAGCTAAGGGTACTTCAATTGGTACTACTTTACCTTTGGTTCCTCCAGCCTCTGAAAGTTGCCCTATAGCTCCAGGTATGGCTTTAGCTCCCCAAAATGCTACCATGTCACTGACCTCTGAAATTCCCAAGTCTGTTGTTCACTTTCCCACTCCTTCCCCAGTTGAGATTTCTCCTACAGGGGCAAAGAAAGTTGATGGTTCTCGTATAGCTTTGGCACCTTTGGCTTCCTCTCCAGAAGGGCACCCTGATAACTCTGTTGCTTCTGTTACTGAATCTTTCAAAGAAACTCTGACATACCTAGGTGACTCTTCATCTCCTGTAAAGACTAATGTGTCCCCTCAGGCTAAAATACTGCCATCCAATAAGCATTCTACTGTTCCTGCTGGGAATCTCTCATCTCTTTCTCCAGTTGAGGCTTCCTTCCTTCCAGAGGCCAATCTTTCTTCTCCAGGCTCTAAAGACTCACTAAACAAACATTCTTCCACTCCTCCATCCCTAGGAGCAACCCCATTGTCCAAAGAAATGCCCACTCCTTCAACCTTGCTTCCTCTCTCTTTCAAAGAGGTACCAGGTACACTTAACTCTAAAGAGCCCCTGAATCCCCCAGCTATTACTCCTCCCTCCCCCAAAAAGGTGGCAGCAGCTCCATCCCCCAAAGGAGCCACTATTTCCC